GGCAGATAGTGTAGAACCTTCGGGTGGACTACTTAAATAGGCACTCAAAAGGTGCACGTGTGGCTTGATGTACCATCCAATAAAAAGTTCTCCAGACCAAAGAGATCACCTTAATACCAAAAAAAAAATAATAATAAAATTTTCTCTTGCGCTATTTAAATTGCTGTATAATAAACCTTATTTTTAACATATTGGTTATTTGAGGAATCGTGCTAATTTGAAGAATATGTAGATTAACAGCAGTGTACAAAATAAACTATCGATAAGACTTATTAGGTAGACCCGGTGCTACCGTGTGTTTTCAGCCATTTGTATTTCGTAAACTGGACAATGAAGAAGTGGATTGAGTATTGAACATTTTTGCAACCAATCAACCCAAATAAATAAATATACTATACCGTCATTATATTTATATATAAAAATTTCCCTCAATATAGCATATGATAGACCGTTTTTTCCTGAATTTGCACTATATCACCAGGGTGCAAATTCATATCTGTATTAAATGTACTATTGTCATTTAATAATGTATACTTTATATGTTCGTAAAACTCTACATTCTTATATATTAAAAATGCTCTTTTTCCCATATAAATATCATATGCACTTACGATATCATAAGTAAATTGAAGATTGTCATCAAGTTTAATAGATAAAGAAAGTTGGCAGATTTCACTTTTTGATAAATGTTTTCGTGTTTTGATGTTTCTTATTCTATCATTATGTGACGTGATATTTGAATAAATTATAATAAAGAATTACGTTATTATTAACGATAAAATAGAAACTCCAGAAACATAGTTTGACCGAAGAGAATGTCGAACACATGTTAGGAGCGTAAAAAGTTAATCCTTTTATGAATATATGAATGTTAGTAATTTATAATTATGCCCTTGAAATTAGAGGTATATAAAGAAATGCCACCTACTTGTATATATGAAACATTATTCCTTTTCAAATTTGTTCAAGTTATTTTTTTTTTAAGAAGCTGTCGATTATTGTATGTACGTATTATTTGTTATTAATTAATGATAAATAAATAAATCAAAATTATGTGATAGAAGTAAATTATTACCTATATTCACTTTTTTATTTATTCTAGAGTTCCGGTAATTGAAATTAATGTATATGTACTTACTAATATCAATCGTATCCTTTTCTTGATTATTCTGTATCATATACCAATCAGACAATATAGATTGAAGCAATGGGTCTGTTGTAAAATTTTGAAAACCTTGCCCAATATGTAGAAAGCAGCTATCTGTTCCTCCGTCAATGAATTGTTTGGAGTGTATTGTGCCGTCAAATAAGATCAAATTCTACATTCTTGCAATTCATTTTCGGAACAAAACTTTTGAATATTTTATGTACTGCTTCCTTGATTTCCACAGAAATATTTACGAGCGTTCCAAAATTGTAGGCATTTTGAACATGATGTCGATTTATATGCAAGTTTGGTAAATTATTGAAATTATCTAGAAAAAGCTGAAATACAATAATATATTAATTATTTTATATCGTACCAATAGAATTAGATTGACTTATCAGAAATCATCATCTTAAGATCTCATTAAAATCCTTCCTCATTGTTAAAACTACTTGATTTTTTAAGGATTTAAATAAATTTTATCAACAGGAGTCTCATATGCTAATTGTTAATAAAAAATCAAGAGCCACATATATATGTATGCACGTATATACAACAGTATTACAAAAAACATAAAATTTTTGTCAAGCAGAATAATACTTACTTTTAATAGAATAATATGTTCAATTTTTAAAGCTTTATTTAATTCCATATAGGTTTGCTCGGTAAAGGTAAAACTGAAACTTAAGCAGGATGCTTTTGTGACAGCTACCCAGCACAAAATAATTTCATTTACAATTTGTATAGATGATAGTCATTTGTTTGTTGATATTGTAAGATGTTTTCGTAGCAAATCTAAATCAACATCTTTAATATGTGTTGTTGATAAAAATCGCTATAACAAAAATGGCATTATCATTGCCAACCGCAAACAATCAGAAAACATGAAACTATTTAAGTGTTTGACTGGATTAGGGAGACGATACCAGTTGGATGGTGTCTCAAAGTTTTTCCAATATTTAAAAAAGGTAGATTTTCCTATTGGACTTAATATTGAAAAAGTACAATCTTCTAACCATTGTACTTTTCCAGCTGCAGCATGATACACATCCTGTGGAGTCTGTAAGTGCCGGTTACATGTTATCTGATTAAGAATACTGAAACACATACTTAAACCATGTTTAGTACAATAATTATTGATCATTTTTTGTAGTGCTCTCTCTTGTACCAATTCTTCTAGCTTACTCATTTTTTTATCTATAAGATGATGATATCTCGCATTTAACTTAATGTCAAAAGTAGAATCACACAATTGCTCCTTAGGCACCAAACAACTTCTGCATCCTTGATTAGCACTATGATGTTTTGTATCAGCAAGATTGTTACCCTGAGGGAGGTCGGCGGTTATAACACCCAGAGTAGCAATTACCCATATATCCTGACCCACAATATTTAATAAAGCACCTTTTTCTAAATTTTTAATTTCATTATATCATTAAACTTTCCGCCGAATAGAACAAAGCCTAAAACGAAATGATTTTTAAGCTTTTGTTTTAACTGTAACAGCATATTACAAAATTTGAAGTAAATCCCGCCCAGAGAATGATAAATATTGTAAAAAGTATCAAAGTCATCATAATAGATGTCCAACATTATTTTAAATGTAGGTACATTATGTCGCAATTAGTGTGTATTCAATTGGATAAAGGTGCCATAGTTTGCAATCTCTTATTTTCCATCGGCCTTCATAACTGTATAAGATTTCACTCACATAAAATTGATAATTCAATATCTCTGGAGTATCTTTAAGCCAAAATTTAACTAATCTAATCACATTAAATGGATCAATTAAGTATATTATTTCGCTTAACCATAACTCACCATTCTGTGATCGTTCTATTCTTGCTGAACTTGTAAAAGTTCTTGGCAATTCTGAACCAAAATAAAGATGCTGAACTTTCAATTTAATACTATTGGAAGTTGAAACTATCGCCATAATTCTTCCGACCCTTATTTTCTGGTCCTTATATTTAATGAAAGACCCTATTTTATATAATTCTAACATAATTTATTATTAAAAAAAAAAATTATTATAGAAAAAAAAATTGAAACAAAAAAAAATTTAATAAAAAAGATTTGAACTTGGTCATAGTTATATAATATTATCTTCATCTATTTGTATTGAGGACGGGCCAAAAAAAGGCAATTCTTGCCAAATATTTCTGTGCCAGAACTCTGATTTTATTTCAGCTTCGATACCCAGTTCAAAATACATCTGTGACCTTAAATCTGTATTATTTAGAACTCTTCGGATATGCTCGCTTACGGATATAGTATACACATCCTTGTAGGATGTTGATGTTGATGGTGTATTTATGTCTTTAATTGGAACTTTATGACACTTTATTAATTCCGAACATTCCCAATTACATGATTAGGTTGAAAGTTTGGATGTCTTATAATACGTACAAGGTCTTCATACACCTTAGTTGCTGATATAAGATAATAAATTATTATTCAATAAATAATAATAATAATAATGGTAATAAAATTAAAATCAAGTTAAATAAATAATAAAACTTCCTATTCATTATTATTCAATTAATAATAATAATAATAATGGTAATAAAATTAAAATCAAGTTAAATAAATAATGAAACTTCCTATTTATTATTATTCAATTAATAATAATAATGGTAATAAAATTAAAATCAAGTTAAATAAATAATGAAACTTCCTATTAATAATACTTACTTATCATGTGCTTAGTAACCCATGTAAAAAGTGACATTTCTGTAAAATTTTTAAAGTATGAACCGTACTCTCCGGAAAATTAATTCCACTGTCTGCTATAGATTGTGTGCATTCAGTTTCTGACTCTTGTAATTTAATTTCACTCATAACCATTGATTGATCACTGCTACTTATTGTGTCTGAAGCACTACTTAGTGCATCCGAAGTTGTAAAAGAGCCGCTTTCAAAATTGTCATTAATAAGTTAGTCATTGTCGCTCATCGTGTCTAAAACGCTATCCAATGCATCTGGAGCTGTAGAGAAACTGTAATTGAAATCGTTATTAATAAACAGAGTTTTGCATGATGGACCTTGTGAACCTGATGAAACTTGAATTTCACTGTCTTGCGCAGTATATGCATGTGGTCACGAATATTCTTCTTGTAAATTCTTATTTACACGTTTAGTAACACAGCTTTTTTAGTTGTTTTATTAATTTGTATTCTTCTTATTTTTAACGAACTCAATAATAAAAGGGTTAATGATAAGAACACTGCTTAAAATACTTAATTAATAAATTCTAAGCGATAGTATTTAAAGAAAGTTGAAAAAAAAACTGTGACACTGCTTAAAATACTTAATTAATAAATTCTAAGTGATAGTATTTAAGGAAAGTTGAAAAAAAACTGTGAAGAAGTTTGTGAAGGTCTGTATTTTTTATACCTATAATTTTTGAATGGCAGTATTTGGAGAAAATGTGGAAAAAAAAAATGTAAAAAATTTAATGGGTCTGCCTTTATATTCATTTTCTTAAAGTGGGGTTTGATTATTAATTGATCTGAATCTAATCTTATTAACTTCATAAATCACATTATTTGAATTTTTAATATAACATTTCACAATAATTAGTTAAATATGATCACAATATGAGTTAAATTAAATACAGTATAAATATAAATGTGTAGCGACAAGTTAAAATTATTGCTTTCATAAATGTAAAGAACTTAATTTTCAAGCGTAAATGTACATGCAAATTTCTACAAATTATTTCCTACATATTTGCTATTTTATTGTGTTTTAATTAATATATTTAATATTTAGGATTATTCTTGACCCGATAAAGTTCGATATCTCTGCATTATGTAGATCCCTGCAATAATAAGAAAAAGCAATTGTTAAATTAAAATAGTAATACGTTATTGTTAACATATTATAATTAAATTAATAATATACGAGCTATTCTATCTTTAGAAGCGACCTAATGTTCATTTGTTGTAAAGCCTTCTCTCCATCCACTGTGAAAACTTCCATATCAACCGTCTTATAATTTAGTCTTTAATGTCATTTACAACTTCTTGGTCCAAAAGTTCTTCTTGGACAATGAGGTTAAAAGCTGACTATATAAAATCGGTAAACATGTTAATATTTACATGCTGTTCTTCAAACATTTTTTGTATATCTATCACATCCATATGACGTTTTATGAAAGTTGTCCAGTTATCTTTATTGATATAATCAGCAATTTTCCGTGTCGTTGGCTGATTTGCCTTGGTTAATCTAAAATTATGTTAGTTTTTTTATTTTTATTTTTATTTTATTTTATTAATTTATGTTTTTTTTTTTTTGCAAATAAACAGCATTATTTGTAATGTACTTGTTTTTCCTGATGAATTCTGAAACAAGGTTTCTAAGTTCTTGTCTTAATGAAGCATTGTAATCGCGAAAGCATGAAAAAGCTCATCTTTGTAATGCTGCATGATCTGATGCACTATTTTGAATATTCGGGAACAAAGATTTTAATAGTGCATCAATAACTTGTTTATTGATGACTCTTGTGTGAAAGATAAGACATTTCAAATGCATTTGAAAAGTGCCGAGATCCTATTAAATAAAAAATTAAATATTGAATTACCAATATTAAAACATAATTGTATGTAATATCTACCTTTTCGAAAAGTGTATCAAATTTATTAGCCACCTTGGCCATCTTTTTCCAAGTAATGGATTTCTTGCCACCATCTGCTATCATCATATTCAATGCTAATTCAACAAGTTGTGGATGCTTTACTAGATACAGACAAAAATCAAGGTCATTCTTAAATGGGCCAATTAAAGCTGAGGTATTAATTGTGGTTGACATTGATGGTTGCTGATCGTAATACTCTTCAAAAGAACTCTTTCTAATTAAGGAAGGTGATGCGATATTGGTCAACTTTGAAATTGATGATCATCGGTTATTAATACTTTTAGATGAATGGCCTCTACTTGGGGATTGTCGATCATGAGCATTTTCGGGTGATGGGCTTCTACCTAAAGATGATGTGTCCAACAACTGTTAGCTATAAAAACCTTCTGACAAATTATTTCTGCCTGAAGATGAACTATTTAAAGTTTGTTCATTTTGTCTTTTGGATGTATGAGAATGTAAATTATCCATATCTAAATTAAATAAGTTTATTATTGTAGGTACTATATATTTTAAAATTACAAATAATAGTATATCATTGCCGCCTCCACTAATCAAACCAGCATATTTATTTGGGCTTCTGTCTGAAAAAAATGTTGTGTCGTTAGATGTCAACAACTGTTGGCTGTAAAACCCTTCTGGCGAATTATTTCTGGCTGATGAACTATTTAAAGTTTGTTTATTTTGTCTATTGGACATATAAGAATGTGAATTATCCTTTTGAATCGTATCTAAATTAAATATGTTTATTATTGTATGTACTATATGTTATAAAATTACAGAATAATGGTATACCATTGCCGCCACCACTAATCAAACCAGCATATTCATTTGGGCTTCTGTCCGAAGAAAATGATATGTCGTTAGATGTCAACAACTGTTGGCTATAAAAACTTCTAACAAATTATTTCTGGACGAAGATAAACTATTTAAAGTTTGTTTATTTGGTCTATTGGATGTATGAAAACGTGAATTACCCTTTTAAATTGTATCTAAATTAAATAAGTTTATTATTGTATGTACTGTATGTTATAAAATTACAAAATAATGGTATACCATTGTCGCTATTAATCAAGCTGGCTTCATTATTTCCTCTTCGCTTTTTTACGTTAGTACGATCTGGACTTATTTCTCTCTGGCTTTCTATAATGATCGTGTCCGTAGCTTGTACCTCAAGATTTTCAACTAAATTATTGATAGGTCTCAAAGAAGATATAAAAGCTAATGATTAAATAATTAAATTAATAAAAATAATATAGTAAGAATAATGATAAAGGCAAGTTTATTTCTTACTCTTGTTTTTTTTTTTGTTTTGTCACATTTTAACCATATTGATCCTAATACAAATTAAATAAAATTTGGTTAAATCTTAGTACACTGGTCTATATTTTCTTTTCTTCATTCAATTCAACAACCTTATATAACCTTTATGGGTATATGTTTTTTATCTGATTAGTTATTGAGAATAGAATTAAAATTTTAAAAACTTTTCTTCTATTTATTTAATTTTGCTACGCCTCATTATATTTTTCATACATTACAAATATGGAAATTACATTGATCTTGCATTAATTATGTAAGTTGTTATTCTGAGTTCTATGATGTAACATTAAAATATATATAAGGATATCAGGAGACAAAGCTGTCTAACAATGAACTGTTTAACCATAAATTGATTCAATTCGAATTGCGTCTACTTACCTATGATATTTTTTGAATAGATGGAATTTTAGTGATGAATATCCATCTTTCAATGATTTGATGTATAAGTCACATGACAAAATCATACGTAAAAATAATGACATTGATAGATAAAACTAATAAAAAAAATATGTAATGAATTGTAGTATAAATTAATAGAATAGTTAATTGGAAGCATTAATAATAATTCATTAGTTGAGAATAACAAATGTATGTTGTTTTGTTGTTTTTTATATTTTTTTTATCTAAGTGTTATTGAAATTGTTATAAATTTATATTTTTTTACAAAATATAGTTTACAAAAAAACATTTAGAATGTAACTCATAGGTCCCTGTAGAACTAATTTAATTATATTGATCGGCTCAGTTAATTTCTTTTGGATGTCAAGAATTTTTCAATATTTATTTATTTTATTTATTTTATCAATTTAGGTATCAAACGGCATATATTATGACTAGGAAGACAATATGTATAATTACAGAATTAGCTTCAGTCGCAATTTGAAAGGAGGTTAGCAATTTATTGTTTTTATACCGAAATAGGATGATTCTTGAAAATCAATCTTTTATAAATATTTGTATTAATAGATTATCGTGCTCCATTTACAACTTTACTTTATAAGCTGACAATTATTGCTTATATGTGACATATAGATTGTGAATACATACCATGAGTAAACAGTATCAATGCACATCAATTGTACATAAGCCAAGCCCTAAATAAATTTGTTATAGAAACCCTTGATACTAGAAAATAGAATGACTTAGGCAAGAAAACTTTTGTTTTTTGAGTATAAAATTATATAAGTTAATTACTAACAAATTGTAAATCAAAATTACATGTTTCATATAAATTACTATATACTCGGCTTTAGACGTATTGTTGCTCAATTCCGAATTCATTTTATGAAGTATCATTTTTCTGAGTCCGTAATACTGATGACTCTACTTTCATATTTTGTCAATTCATTTTACCGTTAAAAAATTTCACAGAATGCATTAACCCGATGACCTGATTTTTTTGACACGAATTTTAATGATAGCCCTTTTTGCTGACAAGACCTTTTTTCTGAAATCTCATTTCTCTGGTAAGAACTATTTCTAACAGCCTTTTTTTCGAAAATATTCTATCAGATTTGGGGTATATTTTACCAGATGTGTCATGTTGTTAATGCGTAAATTTACAATAATTAGGAGCTTTTAATTTGGACCTAATTTTAAAAGGTTGCCGTGATGAAGTTTATTTTGTTGTATTTAAATTTAGTGAAATATCCATCAGCAAAAGAGCTTTTAGTAATATAGTTTTGAAATGTCAGAAAAAGTATCAAATGAAAATGACATGTCGGTAAAATAGGCTGTTATGTAAATAATATAGGAGAAATAGTAGTAGCAGATAAATAACTTATCAGGAAAATTGCTACTGATTAAATGATACATGGAGAAATGAGACATCAAAATTATGTCTTGTCGGTTGTCAGTATTATGACTTTGGTGAAATGATATTTCAGAAATAATAGAATTAGCCGGTAATCAAATTTGTATTTGCATTTGATTATCTAATTAAATTATATTAAAATTAGTAATTCCTGTTATAAAGTCACAATTTCGTATCTTTTAGAATTAGTTGCAACCTTTGTGAATACTTTCTTTGTTTTAAAAAGACAGAACCTCAGGTTCAAAAAATAAAGTCTATATATTTATCATCATTACTATAAATCACCGCATACAAGACCCCAGGTCTAGTATGCAGCCAAGAGTTCATGTCATCAAGAGAAAAATTTTAAAAAGTATGCACATTTTGTATTTATAATAGGCCATCCAGATATTTGAAAAAACCTATGTAATATTACATGATTTGAGTGATGCAAAGAGAAAATAGAATCTTGATTATATAAATTTTATATGATCAAGGTTTTATTTTTTTTTTAGCATTGTTCATTTATATTATATATTAAATTATATATATATATTAAATTATATATATATATTATATTGTAACTTTGTAATATTATAATTTGTATCACTTGCTATTTTTTAAAATAATTAATAATTAAATTATATATAGTAATTAAAATTTGTATTTATTAGTTTTATTATATTATAATATAGTTTAATACCATATTCTGCTATGAATAAACACCCACTCTTTGCAATTTTTATAACCAAAGTTTCTCATTATCTAGTGATCGAACCTGCATAATTTTGGATCAACTTATTAAAATGATTTGAATAATACCAAAATTATGAAAAACTTGGTTATGAAAATTGCAAAAGGTGGGTGCTTATTCATAGCAGGATATAGTATATTAAAATACTTTTTTTTTTTTTAGTAATAAGGTGAGGCCTTGCTTATATCTTTATTGATTAATTTATATAAGTAATTACATATCAACTATATAAAGACTTAATT